TCAGGGAGGTGACCAAGAACCCGATGGTCACTCTGACAGAGCTCAAGAGTTCCTCTGGGGAGATGGGAGAACCTTCCAGAAGGACAACCATCTCTGCAGCACTCCACCAATCAGGCCTTTATGGTAAAGTGGCCAGAAGGAAGCCACTCCTCAGTAACATGACTGCCTGCTTGGAGTTTGCCAAAAGGCACCTAAAGGACTCAGACCATGAGAAACAAGATTCTCTGGTCAGATGAAACCAAGACTTACCTCTTTGGCTTGAATGCCAAGCGTCACGTCTGGAGGAAACCTGGCACCATCCCTACGGTGAAGCATGGTGTTGGCAGCATCATGCTGTGGGGATGTTTTTTTAGCGGCAGGGACTGGGAGACTAGTCAGGATCAAGGGAAAGATGAACGGAGCAAAGTAGAGAGATCCTTGATGAAAACCTGCTCCAGAGCGCTCAGGACCTCAGACTGGGGCGCAGGTTCACCTTCCAAAAGGACAATGACCCTAAGCACACAGCCAAGACAAAGCAGGAGTGGCTTCGGGACAAGTCTCTGAATGTCCTTGAGTGGCCCAGCCAGAGCCCGGACTTGAACCCGATCTAACATCTCTGGAGAGACCTGAAAATAGCTATGCAGCGATGCTCCCCATCCAACCTGACAGAGCTTGAGAGGATCTGCAGATAAGAATGGGAGAAACTCCCCAAATACAGGTGTGCTAAGCTTGTAGCGTCATACCCAAAAAGACTCAAGGCTGTAATCGCTGCCAAAGGTACTTCAACAAAGTACTGAGTAAAGGGTATTGTGTGTAGATTGAGGGGGGGAACAATTTAATCCATTTTAGAATAAGGCTGTAACGTAACAAAATGTGGAAAAAGTCAAAGGGTCTGAATACTTTCCGAATGCACTGTAATCCATGGTATACAAGGATGTACCCTTATTCTTTTGGGACAATCATTGGGATCTCTTCATCTGCAGACAGAGTTTCACAGCTCTCAGTATCTGAGGACAGAAAACATCACAAAGAAACAGGCTGCATTATACTCAAATTAGACGGCACTGAATATTATGTTGCATATCTCTCTGTCCTCATAGTTTTTCTCGCTAGGGACTGGAACTGGAGAATGTTTTCATAATGTCCTCCCACAAAGGTACCTGCCCTTATCCAGAGTAGCCTACTCTCCCTTCTCTGACAGCGGGAACTGCTAGCTAATCCTTTCACCCTCTTCCATGGCTGTTAGCCATGTGGACGATTGGAGGACTTCCACCAGACTGACTGGTCTTCCAACATGGCACCTGGTGCGGTTGCTAGGTGATTTGATGAATTATGATTGGCCAACCACAAGCTACACCCTCCACTTGTGAAAAGCAAGAGAAGCAGCATAAATTATCACATTTCTCTCTCTCTCGCTACTGCAAACATTGCGTTCGGATCTGTACGGACCCTTCCAGACAAGTCAGTTAAAATTAAACATACCTGTGACAATCATATCAGATCCGACCCAGACCCCTGACATTATTTAGAATTCTGGATCCGGACCCCCTCGGCTCCCTGACCTGGTCTCTGGTATTCAGGTACAGGTGGATCCGTCAAGACGTCTAGTGTGAGATAGCCATCTACTTGCTAGTAGGAGCCTACAGTGAGGGAAAAAAGTATTTGATCCCCTGCTGATTTTGTACGTTTGCCCACTGACAAAGACATGATCAGTCTATAATTTTAATGGTAGGTTTATTTAAACAGTGAGAGACAGAATAACAACAAAAAAATCCAGAAAAACGCATGTGAAAAATTTTATAAATTGATTTGCATTTTAATGAGGGAAATAATTATTTGACCCCTCTGCAAAACATGACTTAGTACTTGGTGGCAAAGCCCTTGTTGGCAATCACAGAGGTCAGACATTTCTTGTAGTTGGCCACCAGGTTTGCACACATCTCAGAAGGGATTTTGTTCCACTCCTCTTTGCAGATCTTCTCCAAGTCATTAAGGTTTTGAGGCTGACGTTTGGCAACTCGAACCTTTAGCTCCCTCCACATATTTTCTATGGGATTAAGGTCTGGAGACTGGCTAGGCCACTCCAGGACCTTAATGTGCTTCTTCTTGAGCCACTCCTTTGTTGCCTTGGCCGTGTGTTTTGGGTCATTGTCATTCTGGAATACCTATCCACGACCCATTTTCAATGCCCTGGCTGAGGGAAGGAGGTTCTCACCCAAGATTTGAAGGTACATGGCCCCGTCCATCGTCCCTTTGATGCGGTGAAGTTGTCCTGTCCCCTTAGCAGAAAAACACCCCCAAAGCATAATGTTTCCACCTCCATGTTTGACGGTGGGGATGGTGTTCTTGGGGTCATAGGCAGCATTCCTCCTCCTCCAAACACGGCGAGTTGAGTTGATGCCAAAGAGCTCGATTTTGGTCTCATCTGACCACAACACTTTCACCCAGTTCTCCTCTGAATCATTCAGATGTTCATTGGCAAACTTCAGACGGCCCTGTATATGTGCTTTCTTGAGCAGGGGGACCTTGCGGGCGCTGCAGGATTTCAGTCCTTCACGGCGTACTGTGTTACCAATTGTTTTCTTGGTGACTATGGTCCCAGCTGCCTTGAGATCATTGACAAGATCCTCCCGTGTAGTTCTGGGCTGATTCCTCACCGTTCTCATGATCATTGCAACTCCACGAAGTGAGATCTTGCATGGAGCCCCAGGCCGAGGGAGATTGACAGTCTTTTGTGTTTCTTCCATTTGCGAATAATTGCACCAACTGTTGTCACCTTCTCACCAAGCTGCTTGGTGATGGTCTTGTAGCTCATTCCAGCCTTGTGTAGGTCTACAATCTTGTCCCTGACATGCTTGGAGAGCTCTTTGGTCTTGGCCATGGTGGAGAGTTTGGAATCTGATTGATTGATTGCTTCTGTGGACTCCCTTTAAGAGTGTGCTCCTAATCTCAGCTCGTTACCTGGATAAAAGACACCTGGGAGCCAGAAATCGTTCTGATTGAGAGGGGGTCAAATACTTATTTCCCTCATTAAAATGCAAATCAATTTATAACATTTTTGACATGCGTTTTTCTGGATTTTGTTGTTGTTATTCTGTCTCTCACTGTTCAAATAAACCTACCATTAAAATTATAGACTGATCATTTCTTTGTCAGTGGGCAAACGCACAAAATCAGCAGGGGATCAAATACTTTTTTCCCTCAGTGTATGTGCCGCTTTATGGTCAGGATGCCCACAGTGATGCACAGTTCCTGTCATAACTTCCTGTGTGAATTCAAAATAGCTCTTTCACCCACACCCACTGAATAATTGCCTGTATCCTCTGTATGCCTTTGCCTGTCCATATTATCTCTGTAAATTGTGAAGTTGTTTATCTCAAGGCAGTGGATCTTTAGATTACATCTGAGTGTGGCCTTGCCAAATAGCATTCAGGACAATATCAAGTTTTATTAGTCGTATGTACGGGATACGCATTGGTATACATCGTCTAACGAAATGCTTACTTGCAGGTTTCTTCTCGACAATGCAACAAAAATAAATAATAAAATATATGAATACGAACATAAAGTAAATGAAAGTAGAATAGAATAATACATTTTATAATACAGGAAGGCATAATTTATAGTCCAATATTTACACGTGTATTGGGGAAGGGGAGATGGAGGCAAGTGTATAAATTGAGCAGTATAATAAGAGTCTGGTAGCAGTTGTGATGTGTGTGTGTGTATGTCTGTGTGGGTGTGTACATGTCCAGTTCAAGTGTTCAGCAGTTTGATGGCTTGTAGATAGAAACTGTCTCTGAGCCTGTTGGTAGCAGACCTCATGCTACGATACCGTCTGCACGACGGTAAGGGAGAGAACAGCTCGTATGCTGGAGTGTATGGGGTCCTTGATGATGCTGCGTGCCTTCCTCAGGCACCGTTTCAAGTAGATGTCCTGGATGGGTGGGAGCACGGTCCCAGTGATCTACTTGGCCGTCTTCACCACCCACTGGATGGCCTTGCAATCGTGGCCGGAGCAATTCCCGTAACAGACCGTGATGCAACGGGCCAGAACGCTCTCGATGGTGCAGCGGTAGTATTTGGAGAGGACCTGGGGCGGAATGCCACATTTCTTCAGCCGCCTTAGGAAGTAGAGCCCTCTCGACAAGAGTGATGGTGTTGTTGGTCCATGACAAGTCCTTGGTGATGTGGACGCTGAGGAACTTAAAACTTGTGACTCTCTCTACTGCAGTCCCATTGATATGGATCGGGGCATGTTCCCTCCTCTGTTTCCTGAAATCAACAATCAACTCTTTGTTTTGCTGACGTTGAGGAAGAGGTTGTTGTCATGACACCACAATGCCAGTTCACTTACCTCCTCCCTATAGGCTGACTTATCATTGTTGGTTATCAGGGCTACATCCGTGGTGTCATCAGAAAACTTGATGATGGGGTTGGTGTCGTGCAATGCCACACAGTCGTGAAGTGAACAGGGAGTACAGCAGAGGAATGAGGACACCCCTGGGGAGCCCCTGTGTTAAGAGTCAGTGTGGAGGAAGTGTTGTTGCCAATCCTCACAGCCTTTGGTCTGCCCGTCAGGGTGTCCAGGATCCAGTTGCAGAGGGTGGTGTCAAGCTCGGAGGGAACAATAGTGTTAAATGCTGAACTGTAGTCAATGAACAACATTCTCAAATACTGTAGGTGTCCCTCTTGTCCAGATGTGTTACAGCCGTGTGAATAGCGATGGAAATGGTATCTTCCGAGGATCAGTTGGATCTTTAGCCAATGTTGTTAAATCTATTGCATTAATTAATTTACCTGATTTTAAGGCTTTATATCTATAAATATAGGATCAATTTGATGTATTTAACATAAACACTGGGCAGCAATGCAGAATAGTACAAATCACAAGTCCGATCTTGTTCATGTTCTCTAACTCATTGTTTCCATGTTTTGTAGTATGACCAGTGATAGCGATACTGAAATGTTGAATGAGTCATAACATGATTTCATCCCAACTTGTTTTCTCTCTCTCCCAGCTGCCAAAGGGAAAGGCAAGGGCATGATGAAAGATGTGCTGAAGGGGCCGGAGGTGTGTAAGGACCCTGTGAAGCTCACCTCTCATGCTGTTGGAGTCAACATTCTTTAAGCAAGGAGATGACCCTGCACTAAAACCACGCAAGGAATACCCAGAGTGGTAAGTGCTCAATTTTGGTACTACCTTGAGAAAGAGAGCTGGAGATCAGTTATATTTTTGTGGGATATTTTGAGATATATCTTTCACTTGATCCTGCTTGAAATATATCCCGTTAATGCTCTACTTCATGCCATGAATATCAGCTTTTGTGATAAACATGTAGCGTTGTGTTATTATTAATGAATAATTACAAAGCATTTAATATAAACAATTTAAGTGACACCAAGCTTCTGCCTCCCAGGCTGTTCCAGTTACAGCTGGGTCCCCCTAAGAATATCCATGAGCTGGAGCCAGATAGCCGTGAATACTGGAAGGTCCTGAGGAAGGAGCACATGTGGCGCTTTAACAGGTTACACCAAGGGAAGAAGCTGTAGGACCCAGGGCAGAGATCAGCTGCTCTCTACAGAACTGTGTTCTCTGGACACCAGACACTATAGCGCAGCTGTAACTTGACTGAGTCAATACTCTCAGCCTGTATGTCATCGTTCTGCTGAAAAGGAATAACCCATCACCTCGAGAACTTGGACTTTGTAAGTGAAGGCAAATAGAAAGACCTGGATTTTGAATCCATCTGAACTTTTGCCTTTTGATTTCATATCTCAAATGTTACCATGTGTAGGCTTCTTTGAAGAAGATGACACATACAGACATGTTATTTTAGAATTATGTGAGGGTATGAGTTTTATCTTTTGTCTCTCTGTGTTTCATAAAGTTCCTTAAATTCACAAGGCTGAATGTATCTCACCGGAAAAAGCATCAGAGCGAACGAAACAGTACCTCTCTGTCTCAGTATGTGTAGCCCATTTATCTGATGCTGTCTGGTCAAAAAGAGTATGACATTGTTGCCGCCCGTAGCGTTGAATGCAAGGGAAGCTAGTGAGCATTTGGTCTCGCTTGATCATTTTTCTAATAAAATTATAGCCAATCAGCGTTGAGCTAAACTAAGTGAGCTCAGCTGTGAATGGTCCTGGCGCACACAAAAAAAGTGTCAAGGGAGGCCAGTTCTGAATTTGGCTTCACACCAATCACATCACATCACATCAGAAGCCAAACGTCATTGACAGAAACAAACTTGAATTGTTGTGCCGTTGTCCTCCGGTAGCTAACTAGCTAAAATTTCTAAAAGCTAAAAGTTCAACATAGATGTAGAAGGCTAATTTTAACTAGCTGGCCTTGCGCATCGTTGCCCATGAAAGGAAGTTAGGCTAGCGAGCAAGCATTTTAGCCAGGTAGCCTAGGACAACAAAAACGAAATGCGTGTACTGTATTGAGAGCGTCATAGACTGTTCAGGCAACATGAAAGAGTAGGATGGCATTTGCATTTCTCTACAAGTAGGGTGAGTCAACATGTTTTTTCTACTTGCACACACACACACACACACACACACAGAGCTCAGTCCCATGGACAGCCACATCATATTTAGCTTAAGTTGATTGGACTAAATCGTTTTTGGTATCTTTTAGTTGTCACTGTATTAGACGAAGTGTAGCACATAGGGATGTGTGAAACTTACTTCTCAGCCTGATGTCCCCACTTGCGGCAGCGAATAGCTAGCTTTTCGTGTAGCACCGACTGGTAAGACGTTTCCGGAGGGCGGTCACGTGTGCTAGCAAGGCAGAGGTCCCGAGTTCGCGTTCAGAAAAATGAAGGCCTTGTTTATTCTCATCACTTGTCAGAGAGAGAACACCTAAATACCTTTTGAGATCTACTTATTTCGTGCAAGATTTTGTGTATCAATGGTGAATAAAATAATGTTTTAATTCGATGACTGTCTGTTTTGATTATTCTGCACAGTGGCGTTTATTCATGGATGCCAAGGGAAGCCAGGCTTCCCCAAATATTTGACCAATACAAAAATATTAGTCTCTCTCTGTGTTTTCATAATTTGAGTGGCTGAATCTCACTGGAGAAATCATCCGAGCGAGGGAAACAGCGCCCGTCTGTCTCAGTATGTGTAGCCCATGTATCTGATGCTGTCTGGACCTAATGAGTATAACATGTTGCCACCGTAGCATTTGATTGATTGATACCAGCAAGCATTTGGCCTCCCTTGATAAAAATGTTTTATAAAATAATTAGCCAATCAGCGTTGAGCTAAGCTCAACTGTGGGTTGTCCTTCTGCAGCAAAACGCCCGCCCAAGGGAGGCCATTTTGGATTTGGTTTCACACCAGTCAAATCACTTCCTAAGCAAAACTTCAGTGTCTGTTTTTGGTCTGCTTGTGTTGATGTACTGCAGTAGCTAGCTTGCTAAATCCTCCCATTCCTAAGCCATGTATGGAGATGGGGATTTGGACTGTTTTGACTTAATTCTCTGTACAGGCCAATGATTATGATGGCGATTCTGATCTAAACATAAATTGATAAGTTGTGCCACTGACCTGAGATGATTGAAGTTCAGTATGTACCCTAGATGTAGCCTAGTAGGCTCACGTTAACTAGCTAGCAAGAAAGGAGGATGGCATTGGCATTCAACTAGTCTACAAGTATGGTGAATCCCCAAAACATTTTTTTGCTTGTGCACGCACGCCCACACACACAGACAGAAATCCGTACCATGGTGATAGATTAATTTGTATTTTAAGAATAATGACTACAGGATTTCACCCCAAATACAGTATAAATGTGTGAACGGTGTTAGAGTTATAATGTAGTGTCAACCCACTAACAGAGGGGGGCGGGACTAAACATTCCAGGGTGAAGGGGACTGAGAAAACTGGTTAAAAAAGGCCTCCTAAAGGTGGGCGGAGCAAAGTGCCTTTGTGTGTCAAGGGGTATAAAGCTGTATGTATGTTTTTTGGCGGCAGAGCTCTCCATGATTAAAAATACAGGTCATTCTTGCTGGTTGTGGACCTTGAATCATTTATGATTAAAACCAGAGCCTTACAAACCCTGGTAATGAATCAAGCTTAGGTTGAATTAGAGATAGAAATTCTCATGACACATGGACAGCCACATGACATTTAGCAGCATTGATTGGACTAAATTGTTTTGGGTATCTTTTCAGTTTGTTTTCAGTGTATTAAAGTAAGCATATATAGCCTTGTTGATTTGATTATGTTTAAATTGAAATGGTGCTGGAATAGCGGAGGCAGTGCTCCTGTTGTTTTTGTACTGACTTGTGGTAACTGTAGTTCTAAATCAGTAGTTGTTTAGTAAACTGTTGAAAACATTAACTTGCTTGACCATGCTGCAGGTGATATAACTGTTTGTTACATGCATTATTTGCTTTGTGGACTTCACCAGACGGATGTTGCTCTCCGGTTTTGTGATTAAACATATATTCTGCCACTGTGGCTTCCCAGGTAGCACCAAACGTCTGGCTCACATCTGGCCTGATTCCGGCATGCCCCCCCCCCCCCCCCCCCCCCCCCACTACTAAATAAATATTTATATTAAAATATGAGGTGAGGTGTATATGGGGTGTGCAAAAAGCGACAGTATGCATGCATTCATTTTCCATTCGTGGCCCCGGGAATGGAGGCTTTATTAACTCAATGATATCTTTAAATTATTTTTTAACATTGTTTGATATGTGACACGTCTTAATGCCAAAAACTAGCGCCATCCCCAGATATAGGTCGCATCATCATGCCATTCTCTGGCTGAGACTGCAACCTGTTGTGTGAGACCCTCCCTACAGCACTCCTAGGAGTCTGTGACGTGAGGTCTCTGTTGGGTAACACAAGGCGGTGCCTTGATACCTTTTTTACACTCGCCTCCTGTGTTTGCTCAGCTGCGCACCTCTGGTGGGCTGAGCTATACTCGGAGTGGTGAACCTTAACGCGTTCTGTGATAAACTGGGGCGCCAATACGTTGGTTACGTCCGTAACTCTAGTATTCCGGCCCTCCGTGAACGCAGCACGGGTCTGAACTGCGCTGACTGAGGCGTTAGCCTAAGACAAGGCGTCATCCCCGGATAGCGGTTGCGTCATCATGCCATATTCTGACTGAGACTGCAGCCCGCTATGTGAGACCTTCACTACAGTACTCCTAGGAGTCTGTGGTGTGAGATCTTTATGAGGTAAGCTAAGGCTGCGCCTTGCTACCTTTCTCCTCCTCACCTCCTGAGTATGCTCAGCTACACACCCTCGGTGGGCTGAGCTACACTCAGAGTGTTGGGAGAGAGACCTAGGGCGTGAAGTACTCTGAACGTTCTCAGACGTGTTATGGAAAAAGGGCTCTCTTGTGACAATGTCAATGGGAGCCAACTCTTTATTTAACACATCAAAACAAACAGTTTCCTCCATACCCCGAACAGAAGGGTGGGGGGGAATAGTGGGCTCAGTCGTATCCCACGCCGAGCCAGCTCCCATTCTCTCCCCCTCGTCCCGTCATTGACGTTGCCTCTTCTGCGCCCCCTTAGGGTGCTGCCAGGGCGACTTCGTGACCACCTCCCTCGTTGGTGGAATCGTCGTAGCCACGGGTGCTGCTGGGGGGGCGGGGCCCACTCGCCTGCTGCTCGCGGCTGACGTCTGACGCCTGGTACGCCGCCTCACTGTAGAAGATCTACTGGGGGCGTTGGAGGTAGACGGCTTCTGTGGCGTGTGATTAGACTTCCCTGCCAGTGGCAGGTGTCTAGCCTGCTGCTTCTTATCCTCGTCTAACTTTGCAAAACGCTCCGTCGCCTCTTTGACGGCGACCCCGAAGAGCCCGTCATCAGAGAGGGGGGCGTTGAGCAGTGACGCACTGTCGGTTTCCTTCATGGCAGTCAACGACAGCCAGAGGTGTCGCTCCATGACCACCGAAGTGGCCATGGACCTCCCCGCACATATAGCAGACGCCTGCGTTAGGTGAAGAATAGCGCCAGAAATCCTGGACGCCTCTTCCACCTCCTCACTCGTGAGCTCAGATCTACCCGTTGTTAAACGTGATAGAGAGGCCGCGAGGAGGGCAATATTGTTTGCTGCTGCCACAACTTGGGCTCCCAACGTGAAGGACTTCTCTGCCAGCTGCGCTGTGAGCCTGTCCTTTTGTGTTGGTAAAGTGGCTTTCTTGGAGGATGCCCAGGGACTCGAACCTGGCACTAGATACGCCGCCATGGCGCTCTCGAGACTGGGGATTCCCTTGGCAGCTCTCTCCCTTCCTTCCACTCTGGTGAATGGGCAGTACATCTTAGCCGGCGAACGCGCCGCTAAAGGTGCCTCCCATGAGCCCTCGACATATTTGCTGAGAGAGGGCATGGCTGGAGCCAAAAGCTCAGCCGCCTTCCTCGGCCGAGAATAGGGTCCGCCCTCCATCATATCCACCTCCGCAGCAAGGGGAATGGGAGGCATCGCTATCTCCAGTCGATTAGCAGCCCGCTCAATGAGCCCAGGAAAGTCTGAGCGCAGAGAGGCCGCTGCGAAGGACAGGGCTACTGATTTCTCAGAGCCCGTGTCGTCATCGCCCAAGGAGCTGTAAGACCTCTCACTTTCCAATGGAGGGGGTCTTAAAAGTCTGGGTCAGAGGGACGGATTGTTCCGATGGAATATCCATCTCTTCCCCTCTCTCCTTGTCATCCTCAGAGTCGGCGCCCTCAGATGACGCCTCAGAAGCTGAGGCTAGTATCGAGAGCACATCCTCTAAGGCACATATGTCAGAGTCAAGGCCCGCGGGCCACATCCGGCCCGCGAGAAGGTTTTTTACGGCCCCTGGGATGATCTTGATTTATTATTAGAACCGGCCCGCAGACCGCAGCAAGCCGGCAGCCCGCAGATCTTTTACACGCACCAATACTACATTTCCCACAATGCAACGGTGACGCACCGAGCAGTAGGCTGCTTCATTTCAATATTTATTGGCACAGCAGTCGTCAGCATCACAGTAAAATTAACTTTCAGATACCCATCAAAAATGGCAAAACGGAAGGTGGACACTGAGAACCGGGGGTTTCAAACAAGGTGGGAGTCGGAGTATATGTTCACGGAGGTAGCTGGAAAACCTGTGTGTCTTCTGTGTGGAGAAAGTGTGGCGGTACTGAAAGAGTATAATCTGAGACGACATTATGAAACGAAACACGCGGACAAAAACAAGAATATGGACATGGAACAAATGCCCCAGCTGCGCATCCAGGCTGCTCAAACGTTGTCTATGTTTGGCAGCACATACCTGTGTGAACAACTGTTTTCTTTGATGAACCTGAACAAAACATCACACAGAAGTCGACTTACTGCTGAACACCTCCACTCAATTCTGAGGATTTCCTCAGCTCAGAGCCTTACCCCGAACATTGATGAACTTGTGGAAAAGATGGGACACCACCAAGTATCACCCTCAACCTCAAACAAGTGAACATTACTGTGCAATCACATATTTAGAGTTTTTACTCAGTTCAAGTTTAAAAGTTAAAGTTTAATATTTGTTTTCACTGCATGTTACTTCTCCTTAAACAAAGTGTTGTTTTTGATTAATAGATTTTTGCACTTTATTTTATTGTATTTCAATCCAATTATATTTTAAAAATATTTCAGTTGAGTGGATGATAGAAAATTGCTATTATTGTTTTTTTCTTTGAAGTAAATTTAGCCCACTTTTGCTAAAATAGAAAATATAGGCTACTGATGGTGCCTTGAATACCGGTTTCTTTCATTTAATGTTCATGTTATGGGGATTTTTATATAAAGGAAATGTGTCTTTTGTGTCTGTTGAAAATTAAAGATTACTGACAGAGCCATAAGAAAATATTGCTTTATTTATCTGATCATATTGGAATATATTTGTTAGGTTTTCAGTAGGTTCAATTAGGTTCACTAGACTATATGCGTCATTTAAAAAATTTTCAATGAACATTCGAACAGTCCGGCCCTCGGCTTGTAGCTAAATTTTTTATTTGGCCCTCCGTCCATTTGACTTTGACACCCCTGCTCTAAGGGAATATCCTCCCTGAAGAACGCCCAGCGCTGCTTCCTCTCCTTCAAAGGAAGGAGGGCGCAGGAGGCGCAATTAGGGGGAACGCCGGTTCCGTCCTTGGCATGCTGCGCACCCAAACACACGAAACACAAGTCGTGGGGGTCCGTAGCTGCCATGGAGGAACATCGGCATTGAGCTCTGAAAATAGCTTTTGGGGGTGGAAAATCTCCAGGTGTGCTCATTCTTGGACGACGCCGAAGATCTGGAATTCGACTGCGTGTTCTCGTCCTGAGTCTTCGTCTCTTCTTGCTTCTTCTAGTCCAGTCGCTGAAGATAATGGGAGGCTGATTGAGGGGAGGCATCCCCTCTTATAGGGACACCTGTACTCCTATTGGCTGCAGGTGTGTGCTAATTTTGTCTCAGGCTGATGCTGCCTTAGGGCAGTGTGTAAACCAATAGGAGCAGAGCTCCACGATATAGAACGGAATAGGCCCGAACCCACAGTGGTGAGAGGGTTCTTATTGTCTCTGCCTTAGGCCTATATATCATGGTGTCAAGGCATATGAACTAACAGGATTTACAGAGCAAACAACGCAATTATCACAGGTTGTAATATGGCATTTCTTTCCTGGCTTGGCTTCTCCTGTGATTTTACCCATGCACCGCAACTGCAGGAGAGAACTTCAGAACAATTATGTGCTTGTTTATTCTCGTCACTTGTCAGAGAGGGAACACCTAAATACCTTTTGAGATCTACTTATTTCGTGCAAGATTCTGTGTGTCAATGGTGAATACAAATATTTTTTGTGTAGTTGAATTTGTTCCGCAACTGTGTGACTGTTGTATTTTTGTTGTCACGGCCTTACTGTATTTCACGGTGGCGTATGAACGAATGGGTTGTAGAGCTTCTTTTCTGATACATACTTTCCCCTGACGCTGAGTTTTGGTGTGATTCTATTGGCGTAGGGAAGGTGAAAGCAAACTTGAGGGGGAACATGGTCGCTTTCATGCAAATACAAGGGACACAAAAAGAGGAACAGATGTGAAATAAGAAACAAGACAAATTGTTCAACTAATTGTGAGGGTAGATTCACACCGAGACGAGATTGGCAAAACGGACTACTGTAGTTCCGAAATATATGATTATTGATAGAGATTTTTGAACTAGATGAGAGCGGTCGGTCTGTCTATTCTTCCACTGAAAACTATTGAACGACTTCTTGTCTCATCGAAAATATCGCCGGAATCGGTAAAGAGGCAGGCGTTTGTAAGTTTTGAGATAAAGATACAGTAGTCTACTTTACGTGGACGAAGAAATTCATCTCAGGTTATTCCGGAAGCAGCTGAATAGAACGCAGGTAAATGGATGCGCTTTCAGTCACTCATTCAAGTTGGCGATACATTCGGATAAATAGGCTACGGCAGTTGACCGATATTTAGGCTTATCGTTATGTTGTAATGTGCTTGTTTAATTGTTATAGATTTTAACTAGGCTACGTACAATCCAATCATACAAAGATTTTCCCACACGCATTGCATATTGCCAGTCACTGTAAGCATCAGCAAGTGAAAGTTGTAACCATAGAATTAAGAATTAGAATACTAGAATGGACATGAACCTTGTTATGATCATATAAAGGTCAGCAATGTTGGTCAAGTTGGTCAACCATGGTTTGCAGTGCTGTAATAAGATATTGTGTAAAATAATGCATTTGAGGAATTTATCTGCACTGTATGTTTGTTAGCATGCTATAGTAAGCCAGTTTTAGAGGAATGATGCCATTAATGGGTCAAATTAACTGCCAATATGCCAACATTCCATTCGAACAATGCAATCAATCCACAGCCTAGCAGACTAAACTCCACTTCCGCTATCCACGGCCATACACTGGCTGAAACCAGTTGATGACAGGACTAAGAAAAGTTGTAAATGCAACAAGTACTGATATTGTATCATATAATAGCACTCACAGCTTTACAAGAACACTGAAGTTGAGACATTTCTGGTCTGTTTACATATATTTTAGAGACAATTTAAAGAACACATGTAAATAGGTATAAAACCTGTATAAACTGTATGTATAATTATATGACTATATTCTAGGTTGACAATAATTCTATTACACAATTTCTAAAATATCACATGCCTTACTTTTATTTTCCTGCTTAAGTAAAATCAGGATTATGCCTCTACTGCAATTCATTCAAATTAGACTGTTTTTGATTTTTCCCTGACCAATATGGCTGCCATTTTCATCCCATTCTGGAACTTTGAGTGTCTATGACATAGCCCCTCTAGTAATTTAACAGGATATCTATGGTTGTAACAATGTGTCTTCTGTAGTATGTTCTGTCAACACAGCCACTCAAGGCGTGACTGGCACGCTTGACTCTGGATGACCACTGTCACAAGTTTATTCCAAAAAAAATTGAGAACTGTGAAAACTAGGGTCATTAGTTGTTTATTTTCTTCCCTCCAACGAACAGTATTGTTTGAAGACAGACGAGATGGGTGACTGGAATCTCAGCATTGGGACTTTGAGTGAAGGAGTTCAGAGCAGGTTAGCTGACATGCTGGATAATGCCAAATGTGGATGGAGACAACTTGCCAATGTTGTCACTGAGGAACCTCGATTCCGCTGCAGGTGAGACTTTGAAATGAAACAGTCAATGTTAATAGCATTGTCTCATAATCATTAGAGCTATGATGTTGATAAGTAAGTCCGTACCCCATATTCTTTACAGAATAATCTGTCATCTATATCCAATGATAACACTCGATCTGTAACTTTTTTTAATAGTGATGTTGTGAAGCTGTGGAAGTCTTAATGATGGCATAAAGCCATACAGAGAGAGTGTCAATGTTTAGCCTGACCTGTCAGTGGTTTGTCACCATTGATTGACAGTGAGAATGAGATGACCAGCTGTTCGCTCCAGGTGCTCAGCCCGACAGGCAGCCCCAGCCGCTACCTCCTAGAGAGGCTGTCTGAGCGCTCCTGCACCTTGGGCTTCCTGCTGCACTGCCTGAAGAAGATGGAGCACCATGAAGCTGTGCAGTACCTCACTGCTATAGGTCAATCTTAACCTCTGCCTGCCTGCCTCTCTCTGTCTCTGTCTCTGTCTCTGTCTCTGTCTCTGTCTCTCTCTCTCTCTCTCTCTCTCTCTCTCTCTCTCTCTCCTCTCTCTCTCTCTCTCTCTCTCTCTCTCTCTCTCTCTCTCTCTCTCTCTCTCTCTCTGATATTTGCTCAATTTTAGCAAAACATCAACACTACAGGTGTCCTCTCAGTCACCTTACTTGGTACCTCAGTCACTGTGTGTGTGCGTGTGTATATGTGTGTGTGTGTGTGTGTGTGTAGTGATGGAGCGGTTTCGGATCACAGTGCAGCCCCAGGCCCAACATGCTACAGAGGGAGGCAGGGTTGTGCTGGTCTGTAAGGCCATTGGTCCTGCAGCTATGGGCTACCAGTGGTTCAGAGGCAAAGAAGAGGTCAGTCCATTGCATGTTACAGTCATTATACACTGAGTATACAAAACATTAAGAACACCTGCTCTTTCCATGACATACTGACCAGGTGAACCCAGGTGAAAGCTATGATCCCTTATTGATGTCACTTGTTAAATACAATTCAATCAGTGTAGGGGAAGGGGAGGAGATAGGTTAAAGAAGGATTTTTAAGCCTTGAGACAATTGAGACATGGATTGTGTATGTGTGCCATTCAGAGGGTGAATGGACAAGACAAAATATTTAAGTGCCTTTGAACGGGGTATGGTAGTAGGTGCCAGGCGCACCGGTTTGTGTCAAGAACTGAAACACTGCTAGGTTTTTCACGCTCAACAGTTTCCTGTCTGTATCAAGACTGGTCCACCACCAGAAAGACATCCAGCCAACTTGTTTAAGCGGTGGGGGGTGCGCAACTCAATATTAGGAAGGTGTTCCTAATGTTTGGTATACTCAGTGTATACCCAGTGCCCACATACAGTGTAAAGTGTATGAGTGAGATAATGTATTCTCTCTTTAGGTGCTGGGTGGAAGTGGTCCAGAGCTGGTCCTTTGCCCTTTAACCCCATCCCACCAGGGACACTACATCTGCCGGGTCAACCATGGAGAGAACTTCATCTTCTCCCAGTGGGCACATGTCCGCTTGGTCAGGTCAGCTGGCTCCAGTGCAGGTAACTCAATTGAACTATATTTTCAAATATAGTTCAATCAGTAGAACTAATGTAGTCAATGCAACGATGGTATTAGAACATACGTGGCAGTACAGATCGTCTTGGCATTTAGGCTCTGCCCTTCCTGAATTCATCACATTGACTTCACCTTGCATTCTTTGTGTCATAACCATCAGGCCCCTTGGTTGTGTTTCAGGTGTCAGTAGCAACTTCTTCCCCCCCTCAGTGAGTGGAGTGCGTATTGTCCGTCAGCCCCGGCCCCAGGCAGTAGCTGAGGGGGACTCCTTGTGTCTGGACTGCTTTGCTGAGGCCAACCCTCCTCCTCAGTACCAGTGGTACCACAATAAACAACCAATGCCAACATGCAAGATAAGCGCCCTGAGGGTCAGTGTAGTTTTGGGTCCCCTGAATATATGATAACTGACTTTTTTTTTTTTACTATATGTTTAAAAAGCCTGTATCATAATTATAGGTCCCATTCTATCAGCCATCTTGGAATTGTAGGTGTCTGTGCGTTGGCTGTATATGATTGTCATGTTTGGGGTTGGTATGTGTCGTGGTTGTCTGCAGATACCGCGTGTGACCACAGCAGACAGAGGAAACTACAGCTGCAGGGTGTTCAACCTGTACCACGAGGTGTGGAGCGACCAAGTCCATGTCAAAATAGGTGAGAGTGGTGCATCTGCAATGATTGTATTTTCTGCTATTTCTGTTCTCTGGTCAGACTTTAATTACATATCTTTTATGTTTCCTTTTTAGTGTTGGCTTAATTGTGAGGGTTCATGCAGAAGTGGTATTTCTAGTTCTATGAATATGTTTTGATTGTCCCGGAAAGCACATGACACGGTGCTTTGACTGACTTCCTTGTTTGTGGTATTTGTAGACCCTGGTTCCTCCATTGATGCTTCCTGGGCAGAAGTAGACCATGGTACAGACATGATAGTATTTTAACCACCTTCACTGTTTTACTACTCCGTGTTGCACCTGTTTTTTTTGGTGGTAATGTGATTAATTCATAAAGATGTTATCAACAATGTTTTACAGCTATCATACCTAGCCCTGCCAGGCAGATAAGTAAATTATATGGTAAGTGCAATAAACAACATAGCCATCTAAAAGAAGATGCAGTGTAGAAAAAAAGCTTTATAAACATAAATTACTGTATATGATTGTCCCATTTGAATAACATTAATAACAGAATATTTCTGATATGTACCCTTTTTCCTCATACCTTGATTTCCTCTTGTTTGTCATAGCCACAGACAAGGTGGCCCTTCTGATGGGCAACATGAACTACTTGCACCACAGGCCACTGCGAGCGCCCATGGCTGACGTGCACGAGATGACCAACCTGCTGCGCCAGCTAGACTTCAAGGTGGTTTCTCTGCTGGACCTCAACTGGCAGGAGATGCACAGCGCTGTTACTGAGTTCCTACTGCTGCTCGACCGCGGTGTCTATGGTCAGTTTAGTTACTATAAGATATCAGAGTAGTTAAATAGTAATATTATATGCATTGTCCAGCTGTGTCTAATAGTGTCTATCTCTTTCTCGTTCCTCCTCTCCCGTCATGTTCCAGGGCTTCTGTACTTTGCGGGTCATGGTTATGAGAACTATGGGAACAGTTTCATGGTGCCCATTGATGCCCCGGCTTCTTATACCTCAGAGAACTGCCTGTGGGTGCAGGATGTGCTACAGCGGATGCAGGAGCGAGAGACGGGCCTCAATGTCTTTCTATTGGACATGTGTCGCAAAAGGTACAGTTCTCAGAATCAACTATTTGATTGGGCTCTACGATAATGTAATAATGATATTGCTGTTGTGATGTTGTAAATTAATGAATATCTGTACTAAACTTGTACTGTCTTAGAAACTTGAACGATGGCGTCCCTCCACAGCCAGGGCAACTGAAAGTGACCGCAAACATAGTGTTTGGTTATGCCACGTGAGTTGCTTCTCTGCCACCTTAAAGTACCTCTTTCAGTCATACACGTATCACAGAATGTGTTATATTAATCTCTGGTTATGTCTAGGTGTGTGGATGCAGAGGCTTTTGAGGTGAACAAAGACGACCTGTCCAATGGAATCTTCATCAGTTTCCTCAAACAGAGAGTCATGGAGGACGAGAAGGTCACTGTCATGCTGGACAGGGTGGCCGAAGGTATGACTATGACTAATGAAGTAAAAAAATATATATATATTTTGAAGTATAGTGACACTTGATATCATGAATATCAATCTTTACAAATGACTGTTAATGTAGTTTCTCTGTTTTGTTCATGTATCTGTACAGACATGGGTCGGTGTGAGATCACACGAGGGCGGCAGGCTCTAGAGTTACGCAGTAATCTTTCTGAGCGACGTGCGCTCACTGACCGCATCCAGAGCTCCGGCTGCCCAGAGACCACCTCAGCACGCAACCTGCAGTGGGCCATAGCACATGGTGAGTCCTTTGGCTTATTCACCATGCATTCTTCAATCAAGGTACATTAGTGGAGTGACCAACTGGGTTTTGAACCCAGGTCATCTGTGTGACATTATCCCTCTGAGCTAAATCCAATGCATTAGCTCTGGGAGCTGATATGCGTTTTCTGGTAGACCTAAGTAAGCACTGCATGACGGCTTCAATAAGCATTAGCTGTCTTTTTCCAGTTCTTCCAAAGAGCCGTAACCTGCAGTTTGACTGTGGCGTGAAGGTGCAGCTGGGCTTCGCAGCAGAATTCTCCAACATCATGATCATCTACACCCGAATATTGGAGAAGCCCAAGGACATTGCGTCCTGCTCTGCCCAACTCACAGACTTCACTGAGGTTAGCTGGTCCATTGTCACAATGTCTTAATATGTTCAATAGTCTTCAACTGCAGCACAATCAGGGTTGGTGACTCTTTATTAAACATTTAACAGTAATATGTTTCTGTCATGTGGACATGCAATCATACTTGTTCCTGTTTCCAATTGTGTTCTGTATGATGGCAGGGTTTGGATCTGGATCTGAAGATGAGTAATCAGGAGAACCTCCTAGATGCAGGGAGTTTACTGCCAATGGAGATCCTCCTGCCTGCAGAGCTTCCAGGCCTCTACACCCGCCTGAAGGGACTGCAGAGACTCAAGGTCAGGGTTCAAATGACACACTGACTATCATGGGTGGCCCAAAACAGTGGGACCAGTGTTGGTATTCGAACTCTAAATCAGATATCATTGTTACCAGTTTTGTTTTGGGATATGGGAGAGCCCAGAAATCCTGTAAGAACCTTGCTCTAGGGGATTGTGGATCCCTTCTCTGCGTAGGCCTATGAGTTATGTGACTATCACCTTTTTCTGAGCTCTGACGAATCTGCCTTTGCTTGTTCTCATTACAGAAGGAGCTGACATTCACTGTGTGCCTTCAGTATCAGTATACGAACTTGGATGAGGAGGTCCATGAGAGGCAAACTGTCACTGTGGGCAAACCACTGGTATCCAAACTCAATCTCCACGAACCTCGGCTTCCCCGCTCCTACTCGGCCTCCTCCTCATTCGACCTTCACTCCTTCAGCCATTCCTCCTCCTTCCCAGAGGGCTTTGGGCCAAGCTTCCCTGCCTCAGAGACTTCCTCCGTTGGCTCAGCCTCCACCACCTGGTCATATTACTCACAGCCAGGAGTGTCTGACACCCCGTCTTCCCTCGGGAAGTTAAATCTACCGGTGGAGGATGACAGTCCAGAGTTGTTTGATTCTGACGCCCCTCAGCCTCTCACCACAAGCAAAAGCCTGCCTCATGGTCAAGTAGAGGACCTCACATATCGATTCAGTAACATGCACAACTTCCATTCATGTTAGTCCTGTCAATTTGCAGAGTTGTAAGACCCATTGTGTTTTGTCTACAGACCTACATATTAACTTATAGTGCAACTTACTTTACAACAAATTGATCCCATGACCTGCATTGTTTATATGTTAAAGAATATGTAGAGAAAAACTGATGTAATCTCGTTTTTGTAGCTCATGTTATGAAAATATAGTTTCTTAAAGCATATCCATTTGGGCATGCTGTTAATACATTTCTTTCACATGGTGGATTGAGCTAGTTTACTTCTTTTTTAACAAACATAAATAACTTACTAAAATGTGTTTGAACATTTTGATTCTGGCCCCTCAAATACTGTACACAAAAGACAACCAGTTTAGGCTGGGATATGTTTATTATCCTGTCAGAGCCTTTATGTACAGGCCTTTGCAGTGTAAGAGATGTAAAATGTTTGGACGTAAAACGTGTCTGCAGACAGAAGGAGCCGAGATGTGGAACGTGTGGGGAAAATCACTTTGATGGAGACTGTATAGCAGAAGAGAATTGCAAAGGAATAAAGTGTTGTAACTGTGGTGATGAGACAACATCCTTGGAATGCCCAAATATGGTGAAAGAGGTGGAGGTGGCCAAAATCAGGGCAGTTCAGTCTGTCTTCTATGCGGAAGGCGCTATAAAGGGTTGAAAGAGCAAAAGGTCTGACACTGCAACATGCACCGAGGCCTGCATGTCACCAGCAGGATCCAGACATTCTTCAAGTGAAGAAAGTGGACTTTGTGTCATTTATAGCAATGGTGATAAACGGAACTACACAAGTGAAAAATAAGTCAAGAAAGATCAACATTGTTTCTGCAGCTGAAATCTTAAGGAGTTACAGTGCATTCGGAAAGTATTCAAACCCCTTGACTTTTTCCAAATTTTGTTACGCTACAGCCTTATTCTAGAATGGATTCAAATGTGTTTTTCCCTCATCAATCTACACACAATACCCCATAATGACGAAGCAAAAACAGGTTTTTATACATTTTTGCTAATTCATTAAAAATAGAAAACTGATATCACATTTACGTAAGTATTCAGACCCTTTACATAGTACTTTGTTTAACCTTTGGCAGTGATTACAGCCTTGAGTCTTCTTGGGTATGACACTACAAGCTTGGCACACCTGTATTTGTGGAGTTTCTCCCATTCTTGTCTCCTTTCAAGCTCTGTCAGGTTGGAAGGGGAGTGTCGCTGCACAGCTATTTTCAAGTCTCTCCAGAGATGTTCGATCAGGTTCAAGTCCGGGCTCTGGCTGGGCCACTCAAGGACATTCAGAGACTTGTCCCGAAGCCACTCCTGCGTTGTCTTGGCTGTATGCTTAGGGTCATTGTCCTGCTGGAAGGTGAACCTTCGCCCCAGTCTGAGGTCCTGAGCGCTCTGGAGCAGATTTTCATCAAGAATCTCTCTGTACTTTGCTCCGTTCATTTTTCCCTCGATCCTGACTAGTCTCCCAGTCCCTGTCGCTGAAAAACATCCCCACAGCTGCCACCACTATGCTTCACCGTAGGGATGGTGCCAGGTTTCCTCCAGACGTGACGCTTGACATTTAGGCCAAATCATTTCTCCCATCTCCACAGAGGAACTCTGGAGCTCTGTCAGAGTGACCATCGGGGGGACTCCTTGTGTCTGGACTGCTTTGCTGAGGCCAACCCTCCTCCAATGCCAACAAGCAAGATAAGCGCCCTGAGGGTCAGTGCAGTTTTGGGTCCCCTGAATATATGATAACTATATGTTTAAAATGCATGTATCATAATTATAGGTCCCATTCTATCAGAACTCTGGAGCTCTGTCAGAGTGACCATCGGGTTCTTGGTCACCTCCCTGACCAAGGCCCTTCTCCCCCGATTGTTCAGTTTAGCTGGGCGGCCAGCTCTAGGAAGAGTCTTGGTGGTTCCAAACTTCTTCCATTCAAGAATGATGGAGGCCACTGTGTTCTTGGGGACCTTCAATGCTGCAGAAATGTTTTTGTACCCTTCCCCAGATCTGTGCCTCAACACAATCCTGTCACGGAGCTCTACGGACAATTCCTTCGACCTCAGGGCTTGGTTTTTGCTCTGACATGCACTGTCAACTGTTCGGAAAAAAGTATTTGATCCCCTGCTGATTTTGTACGTTTGCCCACTGACAAAGAAATGATCAGTCTATAATTTTAATGGTAGATTTATTTGAACAGTGAGAGACAGAATAACAACAAATAAATCCAGAAAAATGCATGTCAGAAATGTTTATAAATTGATTTGCATTTTAATGAGGGAAATAAGTGTTTGACCCCTCTGCAAAACATGACTTAGTACTTGGTGGCAAAACCCTTGTTGGCAATCACAGAGGTCAGACGTTTCTTGTAGTTGGCCTCCAGGTTTGTACACAACTCAGGAGGGATTTTGTCCCACTCCTCTTTGCAGATCTTCTCCAAGTCATTAAGGTTTCGAGGCTGACGTTTGGCAACTCGAACCTTCAGCTCCCTCCACAGATTTTCTATGGGATTAAGGTCTGGAGACTGGCTAGGCCACTCCAGGACCTTAATGTGCTTCTTCTTGAGCCACTCCTTTGTTGCGTTGGCCGTGTGTTTTGGGTCATTGTCATGCTGGAATACCCATCCACGACCCATTTTCAATGCCCTGGCTGAGGGAAGGAGGTTCTCACCCAAGATTTGACGGTACATGGCCCCGTCCATCGTCCCTTTGATGCGGTGAAGTTGTCCTGTCCCCTTAGCAGAAAAACACCCCCAAAGCATAATGTTTCCACCTCCATGTTTGATGGTGGGGATGGTGTTCTTGGGGTCATAAGCAGCATTCCTCCTCCTCCAAACACGGCGAGTTGAGTTGATGCAAAAGAGCTCAATTTTGGTCTCATCTGACAACAACACTTTCACCCAGTTCTCCTCTGAATCATTCAGATGTTAATTGGCAAACTTCAGACGGGCATGTATATGTGCTTTCTTGAGCAGGGGGACCTTGCGGGCGCTGCAGGATTTCAGTCCTTCACGGCGTAGTGTGTTACCAATTGTTTTCTTGGTGACTGGTCCCAGCTGCCTTGAGATCATTGACAAGATCCTCCCGTGTAGTTCTGGGCTGATGCCTCACCGTTCTCATGATCATTGCAACTCCACGAGGTGAGTGGAGCCCCAGGCCGAGGGAGATTGACAGTTATTTTGTGTTTCTTCCATTTGCGAATAATCGCACCAACTGTTGTCACCTTCTCACCAAGCTGCTTGGCGATGGTCTTGTAGCCCATTCCAGCCTTGTGTAGGTCTACAATCTTGTCCCTGACATCCTTGGAGAGCTCTTTGGTCCTGGCCATGGTGGAGAGTTTGGAATCTGATTGATTGATTGCTTCTGTGGACAGGTGTCTTTTATACAGGTAACAAACTGAGATTAGGAGCACTCCCTTTAAGAGTGTGCTCCTAATCTCAGCTCGTTACCTGTATAAAAGATACCTGGGAGGCAGAAATCTTTCTGATTGAGAGGGGTCAAATACTTATTTCCCTCATTAAAATGCAAATCAATTTATAACATTTTTGACATGCATTTTTCTGGATTTTTGTTGTTGTTATTCTGTCTCTCACTGTTCAAATAAACCTACCATTAAAATTATAGACTGATTATTTCTTTGTCAGTGGGCAAACGTACAAAATCAGCAGGGGATCAAATACTTTTTTCCCTCACTGTAGACGGGTGTGTGCCTTTCCAAATCATGTCCAATCAATTTAATTTACCACAGGTGGACTTCCAATCAAGTTGTAGAAACATCTCAAGGATGATCAATCGAAACATGATGCACCTGAGCTCAATTTCTAAAAACCTGTTTTCGCTTTGTCATTATGGGGTATTGTGTGTAGATTGAAGAGGATTTTTCTTTTAAACCATTATAGAAGAAGGCTGTAACGTAACAAAATGTGGAAAAGGTCAAGGGGTCTGAATACTTTCTGAATGCACTGTACATGGAGTACTGTCTCGTGCAGTCCAACCCTCTCAGGCCCCAGAGCCTGAGCAGGGTATTGCCTGAGCAGGGTATTGCCTGAGCAGGGTATTTGAGTTTTCAAATCACTAAAGGAGTGGGAATGTTTATACCCTGAACAAAACAATAAACTCTTTGTCCCATGTTTCATGAGCTGAAATAAAAGATCCCCGAAATTTTCCATACGCACAGCAAGCTTATTTCTCTCAAATTCTGTGCACAAATGAATATGCATCCCTGTTAGTGAGCATTTCTCCTTTGCCAAGATAATTCATCCACCTGACAGGTGTGGCATATCAAGAAGCTGATTTAACAGCATGATCATTACACAGGTGCACCTTGTGCTGGGGACAATAAAAGGCCACTCTAAAATGTGCAGTTTTGTCTCACAACACAATGCCACAGATGTCTCAAGTTTTGAGGGAGCATTCAATTGGCATGCTGACTGTAGGAATGTCCAGAGCTGTTGCCAGAGAATTGAATGTTCATTTTTCTACCATAAGCCACCTCCAACGTCGTTTTAGAGAATTTGGCAGTATGTCCAGCCGGCCTCACAACCGCAGACCACATGTTTGGCGTCGTGTGGCAGAGCGATTTGCTGATATCAATGTTGTGAACAGAGTGCCCCATGGTGGCGGTGGGGTTATGGTATGGGCAGGCATAAACTACAGACAATGAACACAATTGCATTTTGTCGATGGCAATTTGAAAGCACAGAGATACCGTGACGAGATCCTGAGGCCCATTGTCGTGCCATTCATCCACCGCCATCACCTCATGTTTCAGCATGATAATGCACGGCACCATGTCGCAAGGATCCGTACACAATTCCTGGAAGTTGAACATTTCCCAATTCTTCCATGGCCTGCATACTCACCAGACATGTCATCCATTGAGCATGTTTGGGATGCTCTGGACGACAGCGTGTTCCAGTTCCCGCCAATGTCCAGCAACTTCACACAGCCAATGAAGAGGAGTGGGACAACATTCCACAGGCCACAATCAACAGCCTGATCAACTCTATGCGTCGCGCTGCATGAGGGAAATGGTGGTCACACCAGATACTGACTGGTTTTCTGATCCACACCGCTACCTTTCTTTTAAGGTATCTGTGACCAACAGATGTACAGTGGGGAGAACAAGTATTTGATACACTGCCGATTTTGCAGGTTTTCCTACTTACAAAGCATGTAGAGGTCTGTAATTTTTATCATAGGTACACTTCAACTGTGAGATATGGAATCTAAAACAAAAATCCAGAAAATCACATTGTATGATTTTTAAGTAATTAATTTGCATTTTATTGCATGACATAAGTATTTGATCACCTACCAACCAGTAAGAATTCTGGCTCTCACAGACCTGTTCGTTTTTCTTTAAGAAGCCCTCCTGTTCTCCACTCATTACCTGTATTAACTGCACCTGTTTGAACTCGTTACCTGTATAAAAGACACCTGTCCACACACTCAATCAAACAGACTCCAACCTCTCCACAATGGCCAAGACCAGAGAGCTGTGTAAGGACATCAGGGATAAAATTGTAGACCTGCACAAGGCTGGGATGGGCTACAGGACAATAGGCAAGCAGCTTGGTGAGAAGGCAACAACTGTTGGCGCAATTATTAGAAAATGGAAGAAGTTCAAGATGACGGTCAATCACCCTCAGTCTGGGTCTCCATGCAAGATCTCACCTCGTGGGGCATCAATGATCATGAGGAAGGTGAGGGATCAG